TGGGGATTTAGTTGTCAGCGCACTGGCCTAGCATGTCTGAGGCCTGCAGTTTAATGCCACCCCCCACTGCAACTAATCAATCCTATGGAGAATGCAGTTTACTTTTAAATCAGCCAATTGCTCATTTGGGTTCAACTTGCAAATTTCAATGAGCACTGAGTGGGTTGTGACTTCAATGTGAGTTGTGTTTGCAAAGACACTGCAGTACTTTTGGAGTCTCTACCTAAAGGTGAGTCAAATGTGGTTGTCTATCTCCAGTTCAGGTTCTCAATGTCTGTGGCAATGTCTGTGTCACGAATGTTAGCATTGTCTAATGTCTCACTGTGCTTAAAGGTAGCAACAAATGAAAGTGAAAACAAGAAGTTGGCATTTTTCTCACTGAGCATGAGAAGGACTTCTCTTGTGGGCTGTGCAAGATCATGCTTACATCAACTTCTGGGTATGTAGCTGCCCTGTTTAGATCAGATACACTGAAGTGGGAGATTGTACTATTTGCTGGTGAAGGAGGAGGTTGCACTGTTTGCTGGTACTTTGAAATCTCATGGAGTTTTTTCCTAGTTATTTTCTAGTATTTATTTCTCAGATTCCTCAAAAGCTTCTCCATGCATCCTGCCAGGTTTTATACCTGCATTCACTGGGGCAGACAAAATACCTGCGCTTACACTATCTGTATTAGCTTTTAGTCACTGTAAAATATCAGAGTTAAAAGACTTTAAGGAGAAAAGATTTTGGCTTATGGTTTGAGGTTTTGGTCTATGGTGGCTTGGTCCTGTTGCTCTGGTGCCTATTCAGGTGAGGCAGCACATCATGGCAGAAACATATGGTGGGGGAAACCTGCTAATCCATGGCCACTGGAGAGCAGAGACAGAAAGGGCAGGGTCCCAATATACCCTCCTGAGGTGCAATGGAAGCACATCCTTATATGTGTCAGCATCTTGAGGAGCATGCACCATACACAACACTTTGGTCTCAATTTTATGGAATCCTGAACAGAAATCATGGTGAAGACATGCCTACATGCCTAACCTACAGGAAGTGTTAAATAATATATCCATGTTGTTAACCCACTAAGAGGCTAAGGCACAAGTATCCTAAGTTCTCAAAATAAACAATAAAAATGGGTTCAGTGTGAAGGGTTGGGGCTCAATTCCTAGGACTGGAAAAACAAATTAATCAAAAAACAAAGGGAAACAGTGATTTATCATAACTGAGAGAGCTGGCAAAGAATTTGGAACTATTCTTCATAGATCACGATGTCTCTGGCTCATATTTCAATGTCTGGGTCTCAGCACTGGCTCTAGTCATCATTGTTCCTCTTCATCAGCTGTGTTCTGTGTCTACTAGTCTGTCAGCACTGTTTCACCTTGTGCTACTCTAGGGCAGTCTTTTAGCTAACTTATCAGTCAACACCTGGTCACAAAAATCACTGTGTTCAAAATTGTTTTTATACTTTAGGAGAAAGGAAAGATACTAAGACTTTTAAAACAGAAAAATCTTCAGGTAATATAGTACATACATTCAGACTTCTAAGAATGAAAATATTTTAATGACAAAATGATGCATTAAAAAATACCAACAAAAATAATGGAAATCATTAAAATGACTGGAGTAAATTCAAAGTCATCAGTAATTATATTACATACAAATGGGCAATATGTGACCATTAAATAAGCATAATTACTGTGGATTTTGACTGTATCAAGAGTAATACAATGTGAGATTATGAATCTTGACTGACTCTGATGAAGGAAACAGTGATAAAATGTGAAATTTGCATGAAGTCTAACATATAATCAATATTGGAGAATGTTTCCACACTTACAAACAGAAAGTAAATTCTGTTGCTTTTGGACAGGATGTTCTTAACAGGTAAATTCATTTAGGATAAAGCATAGTTCAGATTCAATGTTTCCTTATTGATTTTCAGTCTACATAATCTATCCATTGTTGAAAGTCGGGTATTTAGGACCCTACTATTTTTGTATTACTACCTATTTCTTGATTCAGATCTGCTGACATTTTCCTTCTTAGCTGCTGTGTTGTCAAGTGCGAGAGAGACAGACAGACAGACAGACAGAGGGAGAGAGAGGGAGAAGGAAAGGAAGAGAGAGGGGAGAGAGAGAGAGAGACCACCAAAAACAGACTTCAGCAGTTCATCATACTAATAAATGTCTGGAAGTTAATGGCCACCACTTTGAGAACCTCTTGTAATTGTAGAGGCCAAAGGTAACTTGTATTAATCTCACGATGTCTCAATAAATTTTGTATTAAAATATACAAGTAAATATATTATATATTATTATATTATATACATCAAGTATATATAGAGTATATACATACTTACTATGTTTTTCAACAGCATCTCACACTGTTACCCAAGATTCTACCTTGTGATGCTCCCACCTCAGCCTCCAAGGACCTGGAATTATAGGTGTGTGCCACTGCACCCAGCTAGGTGTTCTATCCTCTTGAAGAGGTGACTACTTATTCATCCTCACTTCATTTTCTCAAATTATAGTTTTTGACTTAACGTCTGTTTTGTCTGATGTATAATTACCCCTGTTTTCTTTTGGTTTCTATTTGCAAGGCATATCTTTTCCCATCCCTACACTTCCCCTTTACTTGTGTCCTTAAAAGTGAAGCGAGTTCCTTGTAGGCAACACATAGCTGTGTTTTATTTTTGATGCAGTCAGCCACTATGTCTTTTGATGGGCAAAGTTAGTCCATGCAGATTTGAAACAATTTTTTTTTTCTTTTTGAGACACGTTTTTGCCATGTAGTTCAGACTGGCCTCAAACTCACAGTGATCCTCCTGCCTCAGCCTCACCAGTGATGGGATTACAGGCATGCACCACTATGCCTGGCCTCAAACAATTATTAAAAGGATTGTGCATCATAATCAATTGAAATTTACAGCCATAATACAAGGGTGATTCAACATATGCAAAATCAATAAATGTCACACATCACAACAAAATGAAAGGAAAAATCACTGCAAAAAATACAGAAAAAGCATTTAACAAAATTCAACAATCATTCAACAAATTAGGTATAGAATGATCATACCTTAAAATAATAGTGACAATATATGACAAGGCAATGATTATCATCATACTCAAACAGTGAAAAGCTCAAAACTTTTCCTTTAAGAACAACAAAAACCCCACACAAAAACAAGGATGCCCAGGCTTCTCCCTTATATTAATCATAATAATGCAAGTTCCAGTCATATTAACTAAGCAAGAAAAAGAAAAGACATCCAAATAGAAAAGAATTAAAATTGTAGATATCATGATCTTGAATGTTGAAAATCCTAATGCCCCATGAAAGAATGATCATAATGAATTCCGGAAAGTAGCAGGACACAAAGTCAACATAGAAAAATCAGTAGTGTATGCATATATACCAATTCCCCCAAATGAATGTTAACCTTTTAAGGCCTTGTGTTCCATTTTTGGAACATCCATAAAACAATAGAACACAATTTTTTTGTCTTCAAATTCTTGTTCTTCAAGGCCAGCCTGAACTATAGAGTGAGCTCCTGTCTCAAAACAAAAAAACAGCCAAAAAATCTCCTTCAAATTCTTGCTACTTGAATTTTTCTAGGTAACATATATGAATTTCATGCAAAAATTTAAAAATTGTAATCTTCACCATAAGTGGGATAAATATTATCTATTGTAAATATACACTAATAAAAATGATGCTATACACTAATAATCTCACAGACAGTAACAACAAAGCAAAATCCTTAGGAATACATTTAATCAAGGAGAAAAAAACTGATAAACTAAAATGAATGAAACACTGAAAAAGTAAATTAAATAAGTTATAAATGGAAAGTTATCCCATGTTCATGAACTGAAATAATATTTGAAAATTCCAAGATACCCAAAATGCCAAATTTAATACCATCTTTTTCAAGCTTCCAATGGCATTTGTCACAGAATTATTTTAAAAATCCTAAAATTCATACAGAAACACAAGAGACTCCAAAACACCAAAAAAATCTTGAGCAAGAATAACACTGGAAGTATCACACTTCTGATTTATAAATTGTATCACAAAGCTACAGTAATCAAAACAGTATGATATTGGCATGAAACCAGATGCACAGACCAATGGAAAGGAACAAAAATCAATAAATGCATAGACAACTAATTTTGACAAATATCCCAAGAATATAACTCTGTTCATAAATAGTAATGATTGAAAACTAGATATACATATATACAAAAGGATACAATTGGACCATTACTGCATACTAGACACAAAAATCCATCCTAAATGGATTAGACTAAACCTGAGGCTATGAAATCATAAAACTCCTAGGACAAAACAAAGGAGGAAACCATCATGACACTGGTCTTAGAAACACCAAAAACAGAGTCAACAAAACAAAAAATAAATAAATAAATAAATAAAAATAAAAATAGAACTATACCAAACTAAAGCCTTTCTTCACAGCAAAGGAAACAACAAACTGAAAAGCTACTTGTGGAATGAAAGAAAATATTTGTAAACCATTTACCCATTATAGATTAACATTCTATATATTAAAAAATAACATAACAGCAAAAAACAAAGAAAATCCAATTTAAAATAGGCAAAGGACCATGTAATTTTCTAAAAAAAATATGTAAGTGATCAACAGGTATATGAAGATTCTTCAAATCACTGGTCATCAGGAAAATAAAAATCAAAACCACAAATGTTATATTTCCTCATACATGTTAGGATGGTGATTATTTTAAAAAATGAGAGAAGCTGAGGATATAGCTCAGTGGCACAGCACCTGCCTGGCAAGCACAAGATCCTGAGTTCAATTCCAAGTATCAAAAAAAAAGAGAGAGAGATGAAAGTGTTGGCAAGGATGTGAGGGAAATCAATACTTTATACGGCTAAATGGAATCAAAACTGGTGGAGACATCTGAAAAACAGTATGGAGGTTCCTAATAAAATTAAAATTAGAACAAGCAAATGATCCCACAAATGGAAGCATTCATCCACAAAAATGACTCCCTAAAGAAATATATGTACTCTTATGTTCAATGCAGCAGTACTAATAGCCAAGGTACAGAAATAACATAAGTGTTCCTTTGTGTATGAATAAAAAAATATGATGCGTATGTATAATGGAATACTTACAGTTTTAAAAAAGGAAATTCTGCCATTAGGACAAAAAGGCTGAATCTGAAAGACATTATGCTATGTGAAACAGACATAAAAACACAAGCACTGCATGACCATTCTTAAATATGGAATCTAAGTTAAACTCACAGAAGGAAAAACTACAGTTGTGGTTACTACAGGGTAGGGGTTGGGAGAAATAAGGAGGTATTTGTCAAAGGGCATGAACTTTTAGGTAAAAGATGAATTAAGTTCTTGAGACATTATATACAGCATGTGAATACAGTTAGTAACAACGTACTTTATACCTGAATTTGCTGAGAGTAGGACGTGTTTTACAACACCAAAAAGAAAGGTCACTATATCACGTAAGAGGTATTTTAATTAGCCTGACTGTGGAAACTATTTCATTTTATGTATGTTTTACTTGTCAGCCATATTTTAGTAGAGGTAAGAGGAAAAAGTTGGACTACAGCAAAAATTAAGTATTTAAAGCTGAAAAGAAAAATTTACAAATATTCAAAAATATTTCAAATATTGAAACTGCAAATGTTCAAAATAAATCTACAAAATCACCAAGAAAGCCATGTCTCTTCAGCATATAAGATTTCAGAACACAGAGAAGCAATCTTTGTATTCTATACATGAATAGTTTCTCAAGTAAGAATCATTTTATTAAAGGTTGAGGAATAGTGTAAACAATGATTTTTTTTAACATTTCTTACTTTCATGAAATCTTTGTCCATTGTGATATCACAAGCAACCATCAAAGTGCTCAGCAGATTACAACTTTTCCCCATGTTGCATCAATAGCTTCTCTCCATTGGAAGATCTCACATATTTGAGTGAGATTTCAGGACAGGGACGTCCTTCCACCTTTCTGACACTGTACAGCTTCAAAGTCCTTGCAAGCTGAATTGTAAGCTGATTCTGATGATTTATGTTCTTTACATTGACTTTACATTGTTCTTCTCACCGTGAGTTCTTTTAGGTCTTAAGTTCAGGTCTTTTAGGACAAATGAACACTATGCATGACTTACAGTTTCTTGCCACTGTGAATTTGAATGTAATACTAAGGCAAGTGGGTTTCCTAAAGTAGTTTCCTCACTCCTTACATCCAAAGGGTTTTTCTCTAGTGTTCTTCCATGTTCAGGACAATGAGAAGTAGTATTGAAGGCTACCCCACAATCCTTGTATTTATAGGGCTTCTCTGTACTGTGAGTTTTTACATGTTTACTTAGGTGTGAATAAACAGTAAAGGCTTTACCACATTCCTTACACTCATAGGGTTTCTCCCCAGTGTGAGTTCGCATGTGAATGTGAAGGTAGGAGGAACATGTAAAAGCTTTCCCACACAAGTTACACTCAAAGGGCTTCTCTCCAGTATGAATTCTCAAATGTGCAATAAGGTACGAGGAGGAAGCAAAGGCTTTCCCACATTGGTCACATTCATATGGTTTCTCTCCTGTGTGACTTCTTATGTGCTCGAGGAGGCCTGAGGACGTGGTGAAGGCTTTCCCACATTCCTTACAATCATAGGGCTTCTCCCCAGTGTGAGTGCGCACATGTTTAGTGAGGCCTGAGCGCACAGTGAAGGCTTTCCCACACTCCTCACACTTATGGGGTTTCTCACCTGTGTGAATTCTTATGTGTTTACTTAAGTGTGAGGAAACAGTGAAGGCTTTCCCACATTCTTTACATATGTAAGGTTTCTCACCGGTGTGAGTTCGTATGTGATTGTGAAGGTAGGAGGAACACGCAAATGCTTTCCCACATACGTTACATTCAAAGGGGTTCTCTCCAGTGTGTGTTCGCAGGTGCTTAGTGAGGCTTGTACGCTCAGTGAAGGCTCTGCCACATTCCTTACACTCATAAGGTTTTTCTCCTGTGTGAGTTCGCATGTGGATGCGAAGGTAAGAAGAACATGTAAACGCTTTTCCACATACCTTACACTCAAAAGGCTTCTCTCCAGTGTGGGTTCTCGAATGTGTAATAAGGGATGAAGAAGAAGCAAAAGCCTTCCCACAATGGTCACATTCAAAGGGTCTCTCTCCTGTATGACTTTTCATGTGTTTAATAAGACCAGAGGAGGAAGTGAAGGCCTTCCCACATTCCTTACATTCATACGGCTTCTCTCCAGTGTGAGTTGGTAAATGTTTACTAAGGCCAGAGCGCCCTGTGAATGCTTTCCCACAGTCTTTACATTTGTAGGGTTTCAGTCCAGTGTGAACACGAAAGTGATCATTAAGGCATGAGGAATTTCTAAAGCATTTTCCACAAACCTTACATTCAAAAGGCTTCTCTTCAGTGTGAGTTTTTAAGTGCTGAGTTAGTGGATAACACCTAGAAAAGGCTTTCCCACACTCCTTACACTGATAAGGTTTTTCCCCTGTATGGGTTCGCATATGAATATTAAGATTGGCAGAATATTTAAAACTTTTCCCACATTCCTTGCATTCGTAAGGTTTTCTCCCAGTATATGTTTGAACATGTGCACCACGACTCATGGAGGAATTAAAAGCCTCATGGCTTTTAATGGATTGTGTCCATTCAAAGAGTTTGTTTTCACTCTGAGTTCTCCCATGCACCTGAAGCTGTGGCTCACTGACAAAGGCTTGCCCAAGGTCACTGCATTCAAAAGATTTTGGTTGTGGACACAGTGTCTGGTAAGCCACATTTTGAGTCAGACTGAAGTCTTTTCCATACTGACTGAACACAGGAAGTTGGTCTGTAGAAGACATATTCTTGGGCAGAGCAGAGAAGTCTTTTCTATACTGACCACAATCCCAAGTATTTCCTCCATTTTGTGTACCCACATGTGTCAGAAGGCAGGAGGGTTCTTTGAAGATTTGTCCACATGGCTGAAGGCCACAGAACTTCTCTATTTGTTGGTTCCTTGCCTGCTGATCAAAAACAAAGTGAATAAAAAAAATAACCCCCAAAGAAAGTATTTTTGCACACTTAGTACATTCCATACTCATGATGATGATTATGATTTCTGCCATTTTCATTACATGCATAATGTTCCTACCCTTTCAATTTTATTGAGCAGGAATGAAGGCATCCAACTGTAAGATCCTATGCCATCTACTCTAATTTCAAAAGGATTCCTATAGATTTTCATGAGATTATTTTTTAAAATCAATGTCTAATTAATATATAGGAGTAACGTGCCCTTGAAGGTGCTATGAAGTTTCACACAAGGTTTGGATATCTCCTCAGAAACACTGCTCCCTAAAGGTGAAAAGGTATTCTTCTCAAAAGTCTCTGATCCCTATCATGCAATGCCCAATCCCCCCTGAATGTGGAAAATCAGAAATACCTCTTGTGAGTCTTACCAGCTGTATCTCATTTGATGTTTTTAACCAAAAAATATCTTGTTGAATTGCTGTCGCTTTGGTGTTCAGCTGCAGTACCCATTCTGAAGTAAAATAGAAAAACAAAACGTGTTTCCACAATGAAACAGTAGGCTACAAAAGTTAAAAACAATACAGCTCATTTATATATTTTTCCATATGAAATATGCTAAAAAATAAAGTCATGGTATATTCCAGCACCTTGGCTATATCTAAAGTTTGAGAAGTTTGGGATGTAGCTCTGTGTTAACACATGGAAGGTTCTGGTTCGGCACCACAAAAAAAGACATAATTATAGTAATAAATGAAATTTGACAATCCTAAGGATAAGGGGTCAAAATTTAAAATTAGTAACTTATTCTAAAAAGTAAATGTTCTGGTGAATAAAAACAGCAGAATCATAAAGGAAAAGTAGGAAAGATCTGGAAAAAGAGCATACACGAAAAACATGAACTCAGGCTGGGCATAGTGGCGCATGCCTGTAATCCCAGCACTTAGGAGGCTGAGGCAGGAGGATTGCTGTGAGTTCGAGACCAGCCTGGGCTACAAAGTGAGCTCAAGGCCAACCCAAACTGCATAGCGAGACCCTGTCTCAAAAAGACCAAACAAAAGAAAGAAAAAGAAAAGAAAAAAACCCCATGAACTCAAAGAAGAAAAGAATAGATAGTTCTTGTGATTGTAAGAAAGACTGGAAAGATGGAAAGTAATGGAGTACTGGGATGTGAAGATATCCTAAAACTGAGCCAAATGGCCTTGGCCTCATGACTCAAAGGGTATTCCACAACAAAGAATAAAGTTTGGGTATTCCCCAAACATCCTAAACTTCTCAGTGCCAGAGATGTTTTTCACAACACCTACCTCGGAGAACACCTCTCTCCACTGTCTTTAACTCTTCTTCTGCTTCCAAACAAGAGATCAGGCTGGGTTTGATGAGCTGACATCCTACACAAGAGGAAAGATACATTAATGGAAGTGGCTTACACAAGAAATAATGAACCCTCCCATGATTTAGGAGCTACAACTTTTTGGTTTGGTTTGATTTGGTTTGGTGTGTTTTCTGGGTTTTTTTTTTTTTGAGATGCAGGTCTCACTGTGTAGCACAGGTTGGCCTTGAACTCACTTATGTAGCTCAGGCTGGCTTTGAACTCCTGTCAATCCTCCTGCCTCACCCTCCCAAGTGCTGGGATTACAGGTATGCACCACCACACCCAGCTAGGAACTACAATTCTAATGACAGTGAAATGACTGCTAACAACCTTAATATCCAAATATCTGTTCAGTATGTGTCTCAAAGGCAATGACCTCTGACACCCCAAAACCTGAAGTGACAATCACACAGGCACTTACAAAGCACTAAATATTAAACAAATAGAAAATAAAGTAAAACAAGTTTTGTTTTGTTGGTTCTAGAGATTGAACCCAAGGCCTTTATACTGAGCTATCTCCCCCGTCCCTGATTTTTTAAAATCTTGAGACAGGGTCTTATTAAGTCACTAAGCTGCCCAGGCAGAAAAATCCCCAGCACAGAAAAAAAGAAAGTAATAATTATAATAATAAACAAAATGACACTTGATAATCATGGGATAAGGGGTCAAAATTTAGAATAACTTATTCTAAAAAATTAAATATTCTAGTGAACACAGTACAATCATAGAATAAAAATAGGATTTAAACTTATGATCCTCCTGCCTCAGCCTCCCAGAATTCTGGAATTATAGGTATGTGCCTTCATCCCTAGTTGAGATCCTTGTTATCATGGGGGGAAAATCTACACTAGTGATTGTCTTTTTTTTCTCTCTCTTTTTCTTTTTGTGGCAATGGGACTGAGCCAAACATCTAGCCCTTTCATTTTTAATTTTGAGACAGGATCTTGTCATGTTGCCAAGATGGCGTTCCTCCTGGCTCAGCCTCTCAACTACTGCAAATTACAAGTGCACACCATTGCACCTGGCTCACCAATAATTCTTGTTTTGTTTTGCCAGGACAGAGTCTCACTATGTAGGTTCAGACTATCCTTGAACTCACAGCAATCCTCTTGCTTCAGCTTCCCAAGTGCTGGGATTACAGACATGCACCACCACACCCAGTGCACCAATAATTCTTAACTATTATAGTGTATCAAATTTATGCGGCAGGAAGGTTAAACACAGATGACAGCGCCCCAACTGAAGAGTTTCTGATTCAGTAAGTCAAAGGTACAGACTGATAATGTACTTTGTTAAGAGACTAACAGTGAGAATACTGACCCTAAGACCATATCCTGAGAAGCACTACAGTAGACTCTAACATATGAGAGCAGGGAGTGTGCCTCCATTATTGTCTACTGTCCTCAGAGTTGACAGCACCAATCTTAAAACAGTAAATTCCATTCCAAGAGAAGCTACAAGGAATGATGGGAGTCTTACCTACAGAGACCAGGTTCTGGTAGTTCTCCAACATCACCTCTCTGTATAAGTTTCTCTCAGTTGGGTCCAGTAAACCCCATTCCTCTGGGGTGAAGTCCACAGCCACATCCTCAAAGGTCAGCAAGCCCTAAATCATCATACACACACTAGTTTAAGCCAAGGAACATCTCCTCCAATGTTCATGGAGAATGAGGAGGACAGGGGACCCCATGCATATAAGGGACAGCCAAATGTAGGGACACACATCTGTAATCTCAGCACTCTGTGAAACTGAGGCAGGAGGATCACAAGTTTGAACCTAGCCTGAGCAACTTACAAAGTTACTCTCTCAAAATAAAAAAATAAAATAAAGAAAGGACTGTGGATGTAGGTCAATTCAAAAGCCATGGGTTCAATTCCCAGTAATGATTAAAAAGTAAGAACAATTTTTTCCCATTCTTTGGGTTGTCTTTTCACTCTGTTGGTGATCTCTTTTGATGCACAAAAGCTTTTTAGTAGGATGAGAACCCAGTTGTTGATTCTTTGAAATGTTTCCCAAGCAGTTTGGGTTTTGTTCATGAAGTCTCTGCCTACCCTATGTCTTCAAGATTTTTAGCTAACTGTCCCTCAGACAAAGAACTTATATTTAGAACATATAAAGAATTGAAAAAAATCAGAACCCCCTCCAAAAAAATTCAAACCCAATCCAAAAATGGGTGACTGCATGTTTTTAGCAGCGCAATTTGTGATAGTGAAAACTTGCAAATAACCCAAATGCCCATCCACTGTGGAATGGATAAAAAAGATGTGGCATTTTTATACAATGCAGTATTACTCAGCTATAAAGAAAGATAAACTTGAGGCTTTTATAGGTAAATGGATGCAACTAGAGATCATACTCATAAGAGAAATAAATCAGACCTGCATGTGTAAACACTGAATTGCTCCCTAGTATAAGAATCTGAAAGAGTAAATAAAATATGAAAGGTATAATAGATATTGTGAAAGGGAAAGAAACTGCTCTAAAGGAAAGAATAATTGAGATGAGGGAAAGTAGAAAAGAAAGAAGGAAGGAAGGGACAAAATATGTATATATATACACAAGATAGCTAAACTAAATGTACTCCTAATTCCTGTCGGTTTACTGAAGGGAACAGTCAATTTTAATTGTTTGATCAATCTTACATGCCT